TTTTCTTTCGCACCACTCAGACTGGAACCAGTCCAGATTGGTTCCCAACTCTCTTTGATTCTTCATAGGGCTTCCCAGGCGAAGGTCCTGGACCTACCGGGCAAGGCCTGCTTTCTGTGGTGACCGCTAACATTGGTTCTTTAAAGAAGAATACCTTTTGGTCCACTTGCGGTGATGGCATCATTTGTGTGCAAGAAACACGCATCGGGAAGAACAATGTTCGTTCATGTTCCAAAGATGTTGAAGCTTGTGGCAAGAAATTGTACCACGGAGGCTTGCTGTCAAATCTGGGTCAGGGTGAACCGCCATTTTGGCAAACAACGAGTTGGTGTGCACCATATACCAGTCGCTCTATGCGTCAAAAAGAGTCGTGTCCGTCTGGGTTCAGGTTACACCCAAGATTCAACTGCTTGTGTTCTCGGTCTATGGGAAGACTGCCGCATCCAAATTTCCTGAAGTTCATGGGGAGAATGACATCCTTTTGGGCCAGATCTTCGAATGTGCTGCCCAGTATGGTCCCGTCCCTGTCATTATTTGCGGTGACTTTCAACTGAACCCGCTTCAGTATGCCAGCGTTTCTGCTGCTATAACCATTCATGGGTTGACCCGTTGACCCAAGCCAATGCCGAGGGTGAACTTTTTCGACAACTGACTTACTCCAATGACGGTCTATTTAAGGGGTTTGGAGAACGATGCACATCCATCGATGGCATCCTGTGCAAGCATGTCGCGTTCTCTGCATTACGCAGTATCGAGGTTCTTGAGTTAAAAGTCCAACATAGACCCATTAGAGCCAGGTTTGAATGGACCCGGATCACACAGGTTGGTTACGCGCTGATCAAAGCTGCTCCATTCAATTTGGATAATTGTGCCATCCGGACAGTGATGACCCCCTTTGTCCATGCCATGAAAACGCCGTCCATATTTGGACCTCGGATTGCGAACAGGCTTTTCACTCTGCCACGACTATCGATGAAAAGTTGGCAAAGTTGGCAATCACCAATGATTACCTCATCCGGGTGATCGCCGCCAATGGAGGGAGATGGGCCCGAGGTCCTACACAACGTGGTTCGCTCCTGGACAGACATCTTCCGGTGATGCCCTCTCTCGGAAAACGAAAAGGACTGCAACCATTGTTATAACCTGCTCCGGGAGATCTTCATCCGTCTCACTCGCCCGGTGAAATCCTTTGAAGATGGGGTCACTCTCTCTCGCTCAATCCACAAGGCGAGATCAGTTTTGTTCAAGTGGAACTGCCCAATGGTTTGGCTCGTTTACCATTATCCGACACTGGTCCAAATTTGCGAGTGCTTGTCTTGGCTCGAAAGTGTCCATATTCAGGTCACCCAAGAGATCAGACAGAGCCGTATTCAGGTATGGAAAGACAAAATGAAAACCTCTGCGTAAGCATAAGTCCTGTGATGAACCTCCGAACCTGATTACTGATCGTGATGGGAATATTATTTTCCGACCTCTGGAAGCTTTGGCTGACTTTAATTTTTTAATGGGACGACTTCTTCGGGGCAAATGCCATGCGTGAAGACCCCCATGCTGTCCTCAAGATTATTTGGCCGTATGTCTCCCATGCATCTCAGAAAGCTCAAGTCCTCGATATTACAGCCAGAGATTTGGTCGAACACTAGAACTTCAACGACTCCCATGGTTTGCATTTGTGCCCGTTGCACTCATTTTCAACCAGGTTGAACAGGAGCTCGCTCCTCTCCCACAGGTGCTGACTATTGCTAAGCAGATGGTCCTTAACAAGAATGGGGACTCCTCGCCCATGCAGAAACGCCTGATCACATTGCTCCCTGCATTGTTGTTGTCTTACTCAGGTTTACGGTCCGCCGGCTCCAGGCGTGGCAACAATCCACCCTCCCTGCAAACTTGTGTGGTGCTATCAAAGGCAGGACTATGACCTCCGTTCATGCCCAGTTAAGACTAGATCTTGACTCGGCTAAGAAAGATTCTGAAGTTTTAGTAGGGCTCAAACTTGACAAATCCAAATGCTTCGATCGTCTCATTCCAGCCATGGCGGGTGTTCTCATGCTCGCGTTTGGACTACCTCAAGGGATCGTCCATGTCTTCATTCAGCTTTACACCAATTTGAGAAGGCACCTCACCTTGAGGGGATGGATATCGCCCGTCGCAACGACGGCTTCGAACGGTGTTGCGCAAGGCTGCTCGTTGTCTCTTATTGCCGTTAATTTGTTCATGTCGTTGTGGGCGATCTTCACTAACCTCATACCCCATGTCACTGCTAAGGGGTGTATTGACGACGCCTATTTGTGATCCAATCTGACAAAGATCCATGAATTGAGACGTGCTTTGGATGTTACAAAGTTTTGGGACACCCTTACAGGCCATCTTTCGAACCCCAAGAAATGCCAGTTGTGGGTCTCTGATCCCACCCACAAGAAAACTGCGACAGCCCTTTTTCCTGACATTCCCCTTGCTGATGTCATTGAGGTCCTGGGTGTCAAGATGTACATTTCGACCGCCCGTTCGTATGCATTTGATCCCAAGAAGGGTTACAAAATTGTGGAAGACTTGAAGAATATTGCAGTGCTTCCTCTGAAGGTTGATGTCAAGAAGCACTTCATTAGTGCCAAAGTCATCCCACAGCTTGCATACGGTGCAGCCATTACAAAGATACCCCAACGGGATTTGTGGAGAACTCAGAATGAGATCGTACATGTCATTTGGGCCCGTCGGCCCCATTGGAGAGCACGCCTCCTGGTTCTGGGAGTCGTCGCTGAACCTCATAGAGTTGAACCCGATCGCTCGTGCCTATGCTGCGGTTGTTGATTTTGTGAAGTTCCTTAACCAGATGCCGCTACTCAAACGCGCCGTGATCTTCAAAATGCCACTAAGTGGCCACAGGAATCGTTGATTCGGCAGATCGCTGAAGCACTTGAGCATGTGGGCCTTACTTTGCAACCTGGGTTGTGCATTTCCTTTCGCGGTTCTTGCCCTACACCCTTGTTCGAGTTCAACCATCCGGACATCGCAAAACCATTTCAGTACTTAGCCAAGTGTTACGCTGATGCAGCCGTTTCCAAAAGAAAAGACATCTCGAAATGTTCTGCCATTTTTGATCTCGATTTCTCCTCCATGTTTCTTCGGAAATCTCGCCTCAGCGTTGAATCCTCGATCCCGGTTCGAGTTTTCTTTGAATCAGTTCAAGTGGGACGCAACCTAACGAACGACCGATTGTATCGTGCCGAGCTTGTTGCCTCTCCCAAATGCCGGTTGTGTGATTGTAAGAAACTTGGGAGCATCTTGTTCACGAGTGCCCAGGGGTTGAAGCTGCCATTTCGCGCCCTCCAGATCACGGAACAAACTTTCCATGTTTGGCTTGCGCGCACACCCGAGGACAGTCGCCCTGCAACGCCTTCAGACATCGACCATTGGGGCTACATCTGACTTATTTAACCCACATCAGTGTGAGTGTTTCTGGACGGATGGATCTGTCCAGTGGGGCAGTTATTTCTGGCTCTCAACGGGTGCCTATGCTGTAGTCGACGCACACTTTCAAATCGTTGAATCTGGTCGTGTCTGTCGCTGGGAGCTCTCAGCCTACACCACTGAACTTTATGCTCTTCTCCGAGCGATCAAACGAGCCAGCTGCCGCATTCAGGTCAAGTCGGACTGTCAATCGGTAGTTGACCAGTTCTATGCCTTACGCCAGACTCTTCGAGTACATCCATCCTGGTCACATCAACCATGGTGGCGGACTGCACGTTCTCAGCTTTTAACTTGCTGCGCTCTCGCCCCTAGTAGCTTCTTGCTCGGAGTAGTAAGGCCAGGAGCCCCTATAGTAGCGTCCTTGCTCCTCGTAGCGATGCCAGGAGCCCCTAGTAAGTAGCTTCTTGCTCCTAGTAGTAAGGCCACGAGCCCTATTAGCATCCTTGCTCCTAGTAGCGATGCCAGGAGCCCTAGTAGCTTCTTGCTCCTAGTAGTAAGGCCAGTCCTTGCTCCTACTAGCGACGCCAGGAGCTGCCAGTAACTTAGTAGCTTCTTGCTCCTAGTGGCATGGCCAGGTGGCCCTGGTAGCGTCCTTGCTCCTAGAATGCCAGGAGGCCCTATAGTAGCTTCTTGCTCCTAGTATGTAAGGCCAGGAGCCCCTAGTAAGCGTCCGTCTCCTTGTAGCGATGCCAAGAGCCCCTAGTAGCCCTAGTAGCGTCCTTGCTCCTTGTACTGATGCCAGGGGCCCTAGTAGCTTCTTGCTCCTAGTAGCAAGGCCGCGAGCCCTTTAGCATCCTTGCTCCTACTAGCGATGTAGGAGCCCCTGGTAGCTTCTTGCTCCTAGTAGTAAGGCCAGGAGCCCCTCCTTGCTCCTAGCTTCTAGTAGGTTCTTGCTTAAGGCCAGGAGCCCCTAGTAGCGTCCTTGCTCCTCGTAGCGATGCCAGGAGCCCCTAGTACCTTCTTGCCCCTAGTAGTAAGGCCAGGAGCCCCGAGTAGCTTCTGGCTCCTAGTAGTAAGGCCAGCCCCTCCAAGCATCCTCCTTGCTCCTAGTAGCGATGTCAGGAGCCCCTAGTAGTTTCTTGCTCCTAGTAGCAAGGCCAGGTGCACCTAGTAGCGTCCGCGTCCTTGCTCCTAGTAGCGATGCCCTTTGCTCCTAGTAGCGATGCCCTTTGTCGCAGACATTTGCAGCTTCTGTTTGGTGCCCAATGGAAGGCCAAAGATGATATTCATAGCACGAAGCACCGCAGTACGGATGCCACTCTGTGGCAAACAAAAAAGAACGTGCGAAACAAAAACAAGCAAACAAGCAAGCAACCAAGCAAGCAAGCAAGCAAACAAAGAAACACAGAAACAAAGAAACACAAGCAAACGAACAGACAAACAAGCAAGCAAACAAACAGTGTGCAGATGTCAGAACTCCTTGCAGCCAACAACTGCCAACAACTCTTCTACTCGGGTTGGTTGCGCGCATGGGCCTTTGGCACATCTCTCCACCCCACCAAAGAGATGTACATACTTGCACACCCTTCGCCACCCATGAAATGACCACAGAAGAATCGCTCTCTTTGCAGTGATGCTTTTTGATGGCGCGGATTGCTTTGACCGAGCTGCGTCTGCAGACCTTCAAGCGGGTGCGCTTCCTGGTTTCTGAGAGAGTGTTGCGAGGTTTTGGTGAAGGTTTGATTGACCCGCAGATATGATGAAGTGGTTGAGATACTAGCAAAAGACTTGGCATCCAGGTTTATCGCCTGGACGCATCGGAGCTGTGTGGTGTTTTCCGAGAAGCAGCTGAACGGCGCATCAACAATCGTGAGGCAACTTGTAATGCAGTTTCCTTGTGTTCACGCTGTACATGCTTCAACACTGCACTGTTTGGAAAAGGTTTGGGATGCGCTGCTTTATCGTGCGACCCTTCTCCGTGGGGAATTCAGGTCGGTGCCACTGTGAGTACGTCAATTGTTTCTAGCAAGCGTTGGCAGGCCAAAGGATTTGGCCACTACAGTGGACTCTTTGGACGTGCACTTAGTGAAATTGCATATGGCAACTGCATCACCAACTTTGCCACAGACAATATGGCACGCAATTGCAGATGTAACATGCAGGATTGCTACTGCAGGTTCTTGCGCTTTGACGCTGTGTTGCTTGTTTGTTATGGCTCTTTCGGCAGCTTGCTCAAGACAATATCACACGGAGTAGTTGTCTGCCCTGGCCGACCGTGACAGGTGCAAGTCCTCTTATTGGCATGTTTCAGGGATATCCTGTTCAGGGAGTTCCTGTGCAGGGAGTTCCTGTGCAGGGACCAGGATATTCTTACTCCCCAGCCATGCAATCGATGGAGCATTTGAAGACAGCAACTTGACTTCTGGCCCTTGAGCATGTTTTGAGCTTTTGCTTGTCCGGACTGGATCACATGAGATGTGTACGATGTGTATATATATATATGTATATATATATACACATTCATATAATTTAATGTATATATATATATATAGATATATACATGCGCATGCATACTGTGGCCATGTAACATTTAGACAACTTTTTGAGTGTGGTGAGTTCTGGAAGACACCTCCCCTCAGAATCGACGGTGAATTGCAATCTGGAAATCCAATCCTCCTCTAAAACCGATGTGTGGATCTCTCTTGTACAATTGCGCCGTTCTTGTCAAACGCTTCTCCATAAATAGTTTTTTCTATTGTAAAGCTTTCTCCTTCCTAAAAGTCTTGGTGTGCAAGAGCGCTCTTCTGATTGAACACGTTTCTTCTATTCACAAGTTTCTTCCCTTCTCAAATCTCCTATGTTGAGATAAAGGAAATTGCCCCTTGGGCAAGCCAGGGGATCTTGGAGCGTTCAAGTAGGAGTGTTTGGCTGGCCCCGATGGTGGAGGTCTTTGCTTCGCGGGAAGGTGGACGCTGGATCCAGAAACTGTTGAGTTCAACGCAATACACTTGCAAGTGAAATTTAGCTTTTTGCGCTGGCTGCGCGCAACAGACGCGCAGGCAGTATTTTGGCAGCTTGCTTTGGGGAAGGCAGCTGAATCTCCATTTAGATTTGAGCACATGCGCGCCGAGCGAGATTTGATGCGAAGCTGAGGAAGCTAGGTGTGAGCCCAAAGAGGCAGAATTGTGACCGCCAGATTGATTTTCGCAGACTCAGTGCCTTTCTTCAGTTGGCTGGGGAACCGGATTTTGCATTTTTGGATGAGCTGGTAGATGGAATTCGTCTAGGTGTTGATGCAGCGCTGCCAAGGGTTGCCAAGGTGTTTGAACAGAAAAAAAAGGGTCTCTGCCATTCATCGAGAAAGGGCTCGAAAGTGTGACCTGTGAAAATTACAAATCAGCGCAAGAGAACATGCCAGACATCAAGAGCTGGGGCGAGGTGCTGTAGTAGCCATGAGCCGTAAAGATGCGGAAGAGGAATTTGAAACTCGCTTAGCAGTGGTATCTTTGGGCGCTGTGCCTAAAGAAGTAGGTTCTGATGCAGTGAGGATTGAAATTCGCGATGCAATTCAGACAGTCGAAGTGAATAGTAATCGCATCAGGGTGCAAGACAGGTTGAGATTTCCCACGATCGATAACCTTGAGGCAGTGCTAAGGAAGATGCGAAACAACCAGGAGGTGCGTCCAGGCCCACGGTTTGCGCTCAAGTATGATGTTTCGTGCGCCCACAAGCTTGTGCCAGTTCAGCGCGGAGATTGGGGATAGCAGGCGTAGTCTACCTGCGCACAGCGGGCGCATTCGGGCTGGCGCCTGCAGCTTATCACTGGCAGTGCGTGGCCACGGCATTGGTGCAGCTGGTGGGTCTGGCGCGTTGTTTGGGGCTGGTAACTTAGATGGCAGAATGCTTAGAATAGAGGAAAAGTGAACTGCGTGCGCATGCGATCAGCGGGAAGATTTTCATATGCAGCCGGCGCGTTGCAGCGCGCACGGCCTTTTCTGGGACGGGCGCTCGCCTGGGTAGCAAGAGTGTCAAGTAATGCTTGGGCGAAGATCCCTGCCGGGACCGGCTAGTTGCTGCATTTGTTTGCAGAAGAAGTAATGCGGGCGCCTACTATAATGGGAAGAGCTCTGCCCCGCTCAGCTATAGCGATGCTTGTCGGGTGGATGCAAAAGCGCAGGGTGATTTGGTAGTGGTTGGTGGTTGGGAGAGCTACAATGACACTCCTCCGGATCGGGCAAGATGGTTGCTCTAGCTCAGTGCTTTGTGCAAGTTGCCTTTTTTGGACCTGAAGTGCCCTGGCGTGGTAGCAATGGGACTGCCCAGATCAAAGGTTTTCAGCCTTTGATAGCAGTCCCTGGATCTTTGCAGAGTTTGAAGACATCACCTTTGCTGTTCCGCCGCGTTTGACGCAAGCGGGTCAGGAAGAGTGCGCGACTACTGCAACTGAGCGGGCAATGGATATGACCAGCGGCCCAAGTGCCAAATGAGATGGCAACAACCCTCATAGAGGCGCCAAGCCGCCACACTGCTGCTCTGGAAGCCTTTGTCAGCAGCGGGCTGATGTTTCAGCTGTTCCATGGCTGAGGTTGTCGCAGGCAGAAGCTGCCTGAGTTTGATCCAACCCCACAGAAGAGAAAGTAGAAAGGCCGCATTCTGGTGCACTCGTTTTGGAGCTTTAGCTAGGCGGATGGCCGAGCTAGGTCCGCTAAAGGCCCCTCGGGTTTGCGGTCTGGTGGCTACAGGTTGCGGTTCTCTTTGGTCCCTCACGCAAGCCAGGGGGTCTTGGAGCGTTTTAGCAGGAGTGTTTGGCTGGCCCCGGGTTTGGTTCTGACCAGGTTGCCGGTTTGGAGCTCACTGGTGCGTGGGCTTGCGCTAGGCCTTGTGTGGTTTGCTGGCCGGGGGGTGCAGTGGAGCCCTCTGCAGCAGAGGAGTGTTTGTGTTGTTGACCAGGAGAAAGCTGGTTAGGTTTTGGCTCCCACCTACCACAACCCCGCCAAAACCAGGTGGTGGGGAAACGTTTGTCAGCTGTCGGCTGATGTTTCAGCTGTTCCGTGGCTGAGGTTGTCACAGGCAGAAACTGCCTGAGTTGGATCAAAAATTTGGTGCGCTCGTTTTGGGAGCTTTAGCTAGGTGGATGGCTGCGCTAGGTCCGCTGAAGGCCCTTGGGTTTCCACAGGGTCTTGTGGCGCACAGGTTGCGGTTCTCCTTGGGGTTTGGTGTTTGCGGTGTGAGTTTTGTTTCTTTTGCTGGTTGTCACGCAAATGCGGCTAGATCCCGTCTAGAATCATTGCAACTTCTCAGCGTTTCTTGCCTTTAAGGTGTTGAATCCAGACCAAAATGCATATGTTGGCTTAAAGGACTCTGGTCTTTGTTCCTGTACAAGGGCTGCTGCGCTTCTTGAAATTATTGTCTCCTTCATATACTGTAAATTCTTCTGTTTGTATAGTGGTTCGCGCGCAGCCATATCTAAAGCCTTCCTTCATCATAGGCACTTGAAGGGACCTCTCTTGACAAGAGTCTATGCCTCCTGTCAATTCGTTTTTTCCCGAATGCGTAGCGAAGGGTTCCCGTTTATGGTTGGGGGTCTGGGGGTTGGAGCTGTGTTTGCATGGCTTGCGTCGTGTCGTCGTCTGTCGTCGTCTCTCGTCGTCTCTCGTCGTTTGTCGTCGTCTCTCGTCGTTTGTCGTCGTTTGTCGTCGTCGTCGCGTCTCAAATTTGAGGCCATTGGGGAAGCTTTTGCAAGTGACTTTTCATGGATGTGTCACGTGTCAGTTTGCGCCGCTATTACATTGTGATTTGCGTGACAATGACATGTCGCGCAAGAAACGTGATGCATTTCGCTGCACAGGCGCAGCGTTTTGTGAGATCCGCAGTTTGCTGCGCAGTTCCATTGGGATTAGCGTTTGGAGAGTCGTGTTTTTGGGGTGTTGGATGTGGCCGTGCCATTGGGATTTGCGTTTCAGGGTGTGGCGTCGAAGCTCAAATTTCGTGACAAGTCTCAGCTGAAATGGCGATTTTGGTGGATGGGAGTGTGCTCAGAACGGGTCGAAATCATTCCAAACGTGTGGTGTGGTGCAAATTTTGTTGAAGCTCACGTGAGATGATATTGTCACTTTTCGTGGCAGGCGCAGGACTTTGTGCGGGTTTTGAGGTGAAGTATATGATCTTGGCATGAATACTCAAATTGCCTTTATTGCCAGCAGCAATTCTCGCACGAAACTTTAGTAGTTGCTGTGGAAGTGCGATTTTCGTGGCAGGGGCAGGGAATCGTGAGGTTGCGAAGTCTCGTACGAAACGCTCGTTTTGCAGTGAGTTTTTGAGGACGTCTCGTACGAAACGCTTGTTTTGGAGATTTGACGTGTGGCTTTTTGAGGACGTCTCGTACGAAACGCTCGTTTTAGAGACTTGACGTGTGACTTTTGGAGGAAGTCTCGTACGAAACGCTCGTTTTGGAGACTTGACGTGTGACTTTTGGAGGAAGTCTCGTACAAAACGCTCGTTTTGGAGACTTGACGTGTGACTTTTGGAGGAAGTCTCGTACGAAACGCTCGTTTTGGAGACTTGACGTGTGACTTTTGGAGGAAGTCTCGTACGAAGAGTGCCCTACAAGAGTGCCCCCCCCAGAAGAGTGCCCTACAAGAGTGTCCCACAAGACTGTCCTACAAGAGTGTCCCGCAAGAGTGTCACCCCGCAAGAGTTTCCTAAAAGAGTGTCTCGCAAGAGTGTCCCGACAAGAGTGTCCTACAAGAGTGTCCCACAAGAGTGTCCCGTATGTCCCACAAGAGTGTCCCACAAAATTGTCCCGCAACAGTGTCCCACAAGAGTGTTTCACAAGAGTGTCCCTTAAGAGTGTCCCACATGAGTGTCCCGCAACAGTGTCCCACAAGAGTGTCCTACAAGAGTGTCCCACAAGAGTTTCCTACAAGAGTGTCCCACAAGAGTGTCCCACAAGAGTGTCCCACAAGAGTGTCCTACAGGAGTGTCGCACAAGAGTCCTACAAGAGTGTCCGAGAAGAGTGTCCTACAAGAGTATCCGACAAGAGCTTCCTACAAGAGTGTCCCGCAAGAGTGTC